AATAATTTTAGGGGGGGGGGGGGGGTTATTTTATTAAAAAACAATATTTTAACTCACCTGGACTGGTCCCACGAGTGGGCTGATAAGGCTCCTATGTGATAGCATAGTGACAGGTTCTCTTTGAGACATCAGAGGTCTATTACACCCCGAATGTCACCTCGCAAACGCTGCCGAGGCTTATTGAGCGCAGATGGCGAGTATGGGAGAGCATCTGACAACACTGGTGCTTCGTGATTGGCCACACACACCGTAAGAGCCATCGCATGGGAGGTGGAGTCTGGCCTTAAAGGGAACCTGCTTCTTTCCATTCACAAAGACAAACGTAAAGTTTTATATATATTTTAAACGTAAGAATGTAGGTCATGTCAATAAAGTTTATTGAAACAAAGCAGTTGGATAAATGGCTGTATCGTGTGTGTGTGTGTGTGTGTGTGTGTGTGTGTATGTATGTATGTATGTATGTATGTATGTATGTATGTATGTATGTATGCAAGGGCCATACACATACACACTAAATATACAGCCATTTATCCAACTGCTTTGTTTCAATAAACTTTATTGACATCACCGACATTCTTACATTCCACCTGCCTGGACGCAACTCATCCACTGATGCATTTTGCCCTCTAGGGTTAATCCGAACTCTATAATTAAGAATTGATTGAGGGTGAAGAACGTCAGAGGAGGAGTCATGTCCTGTGGCAGCAATGATGTGGTGTCAATAAAGTTTATTGAATCTAAAGAAACGAGGGACATGTTTGTGGCTATAAGGAGGAGGTAGACCCCCCACACTGGGCTTGGCACCCCTCAAGGAGGAGGTAGACCCCCACACTGGGCTTGGTGGACGCTAGTGATCAACCTAGGCTTGGTGCCAGCTGTACAGGTCAGGTCACCCCTCGCCCTCTTCTTCCAGGTTCCCGGCGTTCTTGCACGGCCAATGCCGTAGGTTGCAGCAGTCGGCCATGAAACAAAAAAAACTGTTGTCGGTGTCAAAAGATGAGGAGACATGACTCAGATTGTGGCAGAATCACATTTTAAGGGACTTTAATTCGGAGCAGAGCTGTGATTGCCGGGCGCCTCTGCGGGCGGATTTATTTACACGTCAGCAAAATGATAAATAGGACGCGGGGAGCCCCCTCTCAGCATCTCACAAGTCTCTGGGATTGTCGGGTCAGAGGGCGCCCTTCCACACACGTGTGTCTCCAGCTGTGCAGATCAGTTGGTGGGGTTGGGGGGGGAAGAGGGATCCTCCAAAAGAGGGCCGTCCACAGGGGCCAGTAGATGGAGGAGAGAGGGGGGCCAAGGGCTTAAAGGCCTGAGAAGGAAGAGTGTGATGGTAAGAAAGGTCCATTTTCCTGCAAAAGAGAGGAAAAGAGCAAAATTAGAACTATACCGTATGACATCACAGAGATGGACAAAGAGCATGACTGCACTCCTAATCCAACTGTCCGTCCAGAGCCGCCATTTATAGACCTGATACATCCTAAATATAGAGCCATTTATCCAACTGTCCATCCAGAGCCGCCATTTATAGACCAGATACATCCTAAATATAGAGCCATTCATCCAACTGTCCATCCAGAGCCGCCATTTATAGACCAGATACATCCTAAATATAGAGCCATT